CAAACGGCTTGCTGATTATTATTTTGAGATGGGGTCTTGCTCTGTTGCCCAGGCTGGAAGTGCAGTGGCGTCATCATAGCTCACTGCAGCCTCGAACTGCTGGGTTCAAGTGATCCTCCTGCCTCAGCCTCCCGAGTGGGAGTGATTACCATTATTAACTGGCCCCTTTCTTCCTGGCTAGCCCCGCCTGGCCTGCAGCAGGGTGGCTTCCCCGGCCAATGGCTCCTGCCCTTTCCCCGTTCCAGCATGACCCTGGCTTTGCGGAGCCCTGAACGATGAAGGCGCTCTGGAGCTGCCCTAGCTTGGGCGTGGGAACCCCTCATTCTGCCAGCCTGGGGCTGCCCCAGGGGCAAACTGGAGAAATGTTGTCCAGGTTCTTGGCAGGAAGAAGAAAGAGGTGGGAGGGTGGGTGAAGGACAAGTTTTTCCCGGGGCTGGGCTTAGGGAGAGTTGAGTGAGGGTGGGGCCTGTCTTTATTTAAAAGTTTGATATTTTCTTCGTCTCAGATTTTTTTTACATTAATTAAAAATTTTTTTTATTGATTTACATACTGTGAAATTCACCCTTCTAAAAATCTAACAATTCAGCGGTTTTTAGTATGTTCACAGAGTTATACAACATCACCACGATCAATTCTAGAACATTTTCATCATTCCAAAAGGAACCCTGTACCCATGAAGCAGCCACTTTGCATTCCCTGCTCCTACTCACCCCCAGGTGACAACTAATCTACCTCCTGTCACCATGGATTTGTCTACTCTGGACATTTCATATAAATGGGATCGTACGATATGTGGTCTTTGTGTCTGGCTTCGCTTAGCTTAATGTCATCAAGCTTCAACCATGCTGTGGCATGTATCATAACGTCATTGCTTTTTGTGACCGAGTAATATACCATCGCATGGATATGCCACATTTTATTTCTCCATCCATTGGTTGATGGACATTTATGCTTTTTCCACTTTTTTTGGCTATTGTGAATAATGCATTCATGTATAAGTTTTTGTGCGGACGTATGTTTTCCATAATTTTGGGTTCTGCATGAATTTTAATTTTTAAAATCTATTGCATAAAAATGTTATTTATCTTGATGACTGGGGTTTTTTGGCGCCGCCTTAAAATTTGCACCTGGGGCAAGTGCCTCACTCGCCTCAACCTAGTTCTGCCCTGCAAGCCTTGTGCCTTGCCGGCTGTGTGATGTTGGGCAAGTTGCTTAACCTAGCAGAGCCTCGATTTTCTCCTCTGTAAAATGGAGATGTGATCTCCGTACCTACCTACTCATAGCTGTGAGCAGGATACAATGAAGGAAAGACACACATCACACAGTAGGCTCTCCATAATTTTTTCCTACAGGTGTTGGGCCTGGGGTGGCTCCGTGGAGGGTCCCAAAATGGACGTGACCTAGCTATGCCCTTGAGAAGAGTTGGCCCAGCTGCCTAGAGCTCCCTGCCGCTTCCGTTCCCAAATGAAACATGCATTTTTTGCTTTCCTGCCTTGGGGGTGGGACCCACTGCTGCTGACCCCATGGCCTCCCTGGCTCCCAGCACCTTCCAGCCCAGCTGCCCCAGGGCCCCCACCTCCGCCTCCCCCACCTTCCCCTCTGCCCACTCCCACTGAAGGCCATGGCTCCCGTCCCTCTACGGCTGCCATGAGGCCTGCACTCTGCAGGGCTGAAGTCCAAAGTTCAGTCCCTTCGCTAAGCACACGGATAAATATGAACCTTGGAGAATTTCCCCAGCTCCAATGTAAACAGAGCAGGCAGGGGCCCTGATTCACCGGCTGCTGGGGCCAGGGTTGGGGGTTGGGGGTGCCCACAGGGCTTGGCTAGTGGGGTTTGGGGGGGCGGTGGTTGCAAGGATCCTGGCTTGTGTCTGCCACTGGCCGGCAAGTAACAGCCCACGCGGTGGAGGAGGCGGCCAGCGCGGTGGCCCCAGGCCGCGTGGCCCCGCGGTGGCGGAGCCATGGTCTCTAAACTGAGCCAGCTGCAGACGGAGCTCCTGGCCGCCCTGCTCGAGTCGGGCCTGAGCAAGGAGGCGCTGATCCAGGCGCTGGACGAGCAGGGGCCCTACCTGTTGGCCGGAGATGGCCCGCTGGACAAGGGGGAGGCCTGCGGCGGCGGCGGCCCAGGGGAGCTGGCCGAGCTGCCCAACGGGCTGGGGGAGGCTCGGGGCTCCGAGGACGAGACGGACGACGACGGCGAAGACTTCACGCCACCCATCCTCAAGGAGCTGGAGAACCTCAGCCCCGAGGAGGCGGCCCACCAGAAAGCCGTGGTGGAGACCCTTCTGCAGTAAGGACCCTCCCCTGTCCCCAGCTCCCCGGAAGGAGCCCGGAGCTCTCACCCTCGGCTCTGCTTCTGAGTGCAGGGTCCCCGTGAGCTGTGGCCTTGAGCGTAGCTGTCGGGGAGGGGGACGGGGCCCATGAGAGCCCTGGGACGGGGTCCTTGCTTGGAGGTGGGCGTCCCCAGCCCCTGACCTGCCCTCCTGCAGAGCCCCCGGTTTCCATGAGCCCTGGCCTCAGCCCAGCCCTTGGGACGGGAGACGTGCCCCAGGGGACTCCTCCATGGGGAACAGCAGGAGGATCCACGGTTCGCGCGCCCGGAGAACCAGGGGTGGTGGAAGGTTTTAGCCACCACGACCCTTTGCACCCCTAGATCCTAACTTGTACACCAAGTCCTCCGATTGTAGGCTCAGGCGGCCCAGAAAGCACTCCCGCCCGGCACAGGGGCCAAGGCTGGGGTTTGGGGGGCTTCCCTGGCCACCGGGGGGTCCCAAGCATTCGGTTGGGGAAGCCCAGTCTTTCTTACCTGAGGCAGGAGGAGCCCCGGGGTGGGAGTTGCTCCCCTTCCTGGGCGACCACAGGCGCCCCATGTCGCCAGCAGGTGCCATTAGAGGCCTCCTCGTTGCGTGCCCCCCTCCGCCAGCCGGCTCCCCATCTCCTGGAGAACTGGGTGGGTCCCGAGCTCGATGCCTCCCCTCTCCTCTGCAGAGCTGACCTGGTTACTAATTACCCACACGCTTTATTATTTCTCTTTTGTTTTATAAATTTATAAACGGCAAAAGGCTCTGATAAGGCCTGTGATCATTAACTTGTAGGGATGGTGGCCTGGAGAGGCCTGGGCCAACCCACCTCCCACCCAGTGGGGGTGGGGGATGGAGGTGTGGGGGTGAGGGAGGGGTGGCCTTGGGGCTGCAGGGACCACCCCTCCCAAAGGCTCCATGACCACCATCCTAACAGCTGCCTGCCTGAAGGTTGCTGCTCGCAGGGTGCTGTGCTGAGGTTTTACACGTGTAATTTCCCTTCATGTTAAGATAAACCCTAAGAAGAAGCTGTTGATAATTCTGCTTTACAAATGGGGAAACTGAGGCTTACAATGGGGAAGGGGCTTGGCTAAGGTCACGCCAGCTGTTTAGTGCTCTCAATTGCTATAACTGGGGGCCAGGGGCCAGCTGAGGGTGGCTGAGAGCTCCCCAAGATGCTATGCAGGGGCCATCTCTTTTCTGTCCAAGGTCCTGATCCCAGCATGGGGTGGGGGAGGGCTGGTGGATCTCTGCCTTCCCAGAGGCCTCAGGGAGCCTCCCGAGGGCCTGTTCTGGGGGCAGGGGAGTAGTCAGGGCCCCCTGGCTTGGCAGGAAGAGCAGGGCAAAGGGCTGCAGGGCCGCAGGGGAGGGGCAAAGAGTCAGGCCTCCCAGACCCAGGGCGAGGGCAACCTGCACGGGGTGGGGCCAGGCCTGACATGCCCAGGGCCCCAGATGGGACTGGGGGCTCTGGGGTGAGGGTGGGGGTGTGGGGGGTGCCAAGGGCCTTTCTTACCTGGCAGGGTGGGGTCTCTTGGTTGGCAGCCCCTTTGGTGGGGTGGTGGGGCGGGGGGAGGCTTGATCCACAGCTTTGGAGGGGGATGCAGAGGTCAAAGTGCTTCCTGGGGACCAGCAGAGACCTGGAGGCTGAGCGAGAGACAGGAGCCAGGGAGGGAGTGAGAGAGATGGCGAGAGATGCCCGATGCCCGCGGAGCCGGGAGCAAAGGCGTCGGGAGGGTGGAGGGGCTCAGACCCAGCTGGGAGAAGGGGCAGGAAGAGAGTGAGGCGCCCCAAGCTGTGAGGAGGCTGGAGTGCTTCGCTCCTGCCTGGATTGGGTTTTCTTTAATGCTAACAGCATGCTATTTACTTTCCATTTAAATTTGAGATGTTGCTATAAATTATCAACCAGCTCCTTGTTCCTGTGGAGTTTATAACTAACTACCTGGGTTACTTATTGTTCAGGGAACAAAAGGGACCTGAAAACGCCCTTAGGGGAAAAAAGTGGGGCCTCTAACCTCAGGGTTGGGGGGGAAGGAGCCCAAGGGAGAGGGGTGGGGGACCACCGATGGAGGCCAAGGCCATGGGGGAGGTTGAGGCTGGAGGTGCAGAAGCAGCTTTCTTTGGAGAGGACAGTGTGCAGGAAGAGGCCAGGGTGGGTCCTGGGTCCCAGGCCCCGCTGGGGTGCCCCATGTTTGAGGTCACAGCAGGACCCTGAGCTCTTGCTTCAAATCTCCACCCTCAGTTCACTGGGTGACCTTGGGTGAGTGTCTTCCTCTCCTTCTGCCTCAGTTTCCCTACCTGGACAAGGAATAAAATCAGTTCTCCTTTCTCCACCCCACCAACTTTCCTGACCTCACACTGACTTGGCTGTCTCTCAGCACACTGAGCTGACTCCCACCACAGGGCCTTTGCACATGCTGCAAAGCCTCTTTCCAGATCTTTCCACGGCCAATTCCTTCTCCTTCAGTTCCCTGATGGCCTTCGCCAAGGTGGGCCCCACCCTTAGTCACTCTTCCTTCTACTACTTTTGTTTACCTTTTCCTGTACCTTGTCATTACTTTTATCTTATTCATCTGTTTGTTTTTTATCTCCTGCCATAAAAGTAGAAACTCTTCAAGGGCAAAGCCTGCCTTGCCTTACTCACCACTTGTACCCCCGGCATCCGGCCCAGTGGCAGACACGCAGCAGGAATGAATGAGCAACTCGCATTCTCCGAGGCCCTGAGGATACCTGCTGCCCCTTGCCTAGGGCCCAGCAGACTGAGGCATGGCCCAGGGAGGAACTGGGACCCAGGGCTCCTTCCTGGATGTCCTCCCAGGCACTCTCTGTCCCCAAATAGCTCAAAGCCCAGCCTTGAAGCTCTCTGGTCTTCCCCATCAGGTAGCACCAGGGCACTGAGATCCAGGAGGACAGCAGCCAACGTAGGGCAAAGGGTCTGTCATCCCTGCCTGAAGCCAGCCTGCCTGCATCCGAATCCCAGCTCTGCCCCTTTCTAGCTCAGGAAGGGGATTTCATTTTTCTGAGCCTCAGTTTCCCCTGCAAGGCAGAGATGATAACGCTTACCCACACGATACTTGTAGCATGCACACGTAGTAAGTGCAATACATGGCAGCTATTAGTAGTAGTGGTCCCATTTTACAGATGAGCAAATTAAGGCTCAGAGAGGCAGTGACTTACCCAAGGTAACTCTTCCACAGTTCTGTAGTAAGGCCAGGACTTGGACCTCAGTCCTCCTACCCCACACTCTGCACAGCACCCTTTACCTCCTGCCTTCCCCTGGTTGTTCTTGTTGTTCAACTTGACCAACTCACTTCCACGCAGTGTTTCCGAGTTCATGAAGGGCTTAGAAATGCACTAAACGCATTCTTTCCTCCTTACGATCTCTGGAGTATGAAATATCATTAAGCCCCATTTCAAAGGTGAGGAAACTGAGGCACACAGAGGTTAAGCAACTACCCAAGGCCAGTCGGACAGTGCGAGGTATAGCTGGGATTCAAACTCAGATCTAAAGCTCCCACAGAGAAGTCAGCTCCCCCTCCAGATGAGTGGCGCTTCTGGCTGGCCACCCTGTCCCACGACCTGGGATGTCCCAAAACCCTGGGCGCCAGAGAATAAAGGCCCAACGCCTTGGCTGTCTGATCACCCTGGAATGGGGAGGGATGGGGAGGAGGGAGATGTGGGCGGACCTTCACCCACCCTGGGCTCTGCCGTGGGTCCAGGAGCCGCCATGACTATGTTGTTAACAATGATGATGATGATGACGACAATATCGTTCCACTTACTGAGCGCTTACTATGTGCCAGGCCCTGCTCTAAGTACTTCCCCCCTCTTTGAAGCTCAACTAACTTCCCCAACAGCAGAGTGAGGTAGGCGTGGATTTACCCCATGCTACAGGCCAGATGCAGATCACGAGAGATGACATGGGCTAAGTCACAGGGGTGGGATTTGAACCCGCGTTGGTTTGACTCTCGAACCCATTAGAATCAAAGCAGGAAATGCCTGGAGATTTGGCTTCTGAGTTGGGAGAGTTGGGGCAGCTGTCTTGGAAAAAGTCAGGTCCTAGGAAACAGAGTGTGTGTGAAAGAGACGCACATAGACAGACGGACACAGTGAGTGAGTGAGAGAGAGAGAGAGATTCAGTAGGTTCTAGAAAAAAGTGGCACAGGCACCTTCTCCCCGCAAAGAGAAAGGCAGGCCCTCTCAGCTCTCTGTCTCCTGACTAGCATTTTCTTTTTCTTTTCTTTTTTTTCTTCTCTTTCATCCATTTGTTGGACCTGACTAGCACTTTAAATTCACCTTTTTTGTTGTGAATTTAGCATCCAACTCTACCAGGAATTGTTTAAAAACAGAAAGTGCACACGAGCTTGCCGTAACCCGTTTGCTGTCCATTTTCACCTTCAAATTCCTGTCTATTTCTACGTGTTGCACACGCATGTGCGAAGGGTGGCTGGCCTTTGTTTTATTTCCAAGTTCAGTTTAAATTTGACCTGGTGGGGGGAGAGGGGGAGAGACAGGGAATCAGATGGGTAGCGGCAGATAGCAAATCTTTAGCTTGAGCCCAGGAGGGGCCCTGTTCAGAGGACGACTGACCCGGTTCTCTGGGGAGGGAGACACGCACGGGAGGGTGGTGACTGCCATTGGAGGAGGGGAGGCCACCGGGCAGCCCAGGGCTGGGATCAGATAAACATGTTTGCCACTGAAGCACAAGGTTGGACTTTGTACTGCCCTTCCCTCCCAGCCCTGATTGCACCCAGGGAAGGGAGGACAGTAGAGAAGAGTGAATCCAAAGAACCCCTGAAAGCAGGGAGAGAGAGAAGCCGGGGACAGATCTTGGGGAGGAGAGTCCCAGCAACGTGAAATATTCTCGAGTCCCAGCTAGGTCACCTCGGATGAGCGACTTCTTCACCTTTCTAAGCCTCAGTTTTCTCATCTGTGAAATGGGCATATGAGTAGTACCTACTCCTGGGGACATCGTAAGATCTGAATGGCCAGCACTTTGCCCAGTGCCTGGCTTCCAGCGAAGCCTCGAGAAATGGGAACTCTCAGGTTTTTACTCAAATCGGACTCTGCCGTCTCTACTGCTGACTGGTTTCAATTTATCTGGCCCTACCTTCTTTTCATCCCTGCCTGTCTGAGAGGCCGTGGATAAAAGAGGAGGGAGTCAGAGGGCCGAGGCTGATGAAGGGCTCTATGCCCTCCTCTCAGGGAAGGGTGCTGCCAGGGGACAAAGCGTGGGCTGGTTCCTTGAGGAAGGCAGGGTGGGTGGGCTTCAGAGTGCAGGGGGCTTATTTGAGTTGTTTACAATTCCATTTTAAATATTATATAAGCATGTATAGCATATCATATATCCCATACGTCAAAAAGTGCACAAAGGGCAACAGAGAAAACTGTGCCCTTAGCCCCACCTCCAGCAGCCCCTGCTCCTCGGGAGGCAGCCAGTGTCGCCAGTTACCCGTGTGGCCCCTGGTATTTCACGCGTGCACAAATATGCAGAAAGCCCCCCTTTACCTCACTTCAATTTTATACAGATAGCAGCACAGCAGACATACCAGGGAAACTCTGCTCCGTCCGGGCGCACGCAGCTTCCTCAGTGGGTTTTTTTTTTGAGACAGAGTCTCACTCTTTTGCCCGGACTAGAGTGAGTGCCGTGGTGTCAGCCTAGCTCACAGCAACCTCACACTCCTGGGCTCAAACGATCCTCCTGCCTCAGCCTCCCGAGTAGCTGGGACTACAGGCATGCGCCACCATGCCCGGCTAATTTTTTCTATATATTTTTAGTTGTCCAATTAATTTCTTTCTAATTTTAGTAGAGACGGGGTCTCGCTCTTGCTCAGGCTGGTCTCGAACTCCTGAGCTCAAACAATCCGCCCGCCTCGGCCTCCCAGATTGCTAGGATTACAGGCGTGAGCCACCGCGCCCGGCCCGCAGTGGGTTTTTATGGTTGCATCCAACGGATGCGCCGCAATTCAGTTCATCAGTGTCCTCTGGCCGGGCGCCGTGGTCGTTTCTAGCTGTTTGCTAGGGCAAGCAACGTGGCAACCAATTGCCTTCTACACGTGGCATTTGTCACCCGTGCTGACGTTGGAAGACTCAAATGCTAGCAGCAAATTGTTGAGCTAGGCAGGGAGGACACGGGCTTTGGAATCACACAGTCCGGGGTTCAAATCCCCGTCTGCCTGTTCCGGCGCTGTTGCACTGAGCTGTGTTTATCTGACACGTATTTGTAATGTGAGCTCCGGACAGTGGGAAAGAGAGGTGGGCTGAGACAGAGCAGGAGAGGAGGGGCGACAATTCATGTGGTTTGGGCAGTCTGACCCCTTCCATTGTCCGCAGGAGACCCACAGTGGGCAGAGGACAGGGACATGATTCGCAGGTGGCATCAGGTCCCTTGAGTCTGTCTAGTGGGAGAATCTCAGCCCTCCCAGCAGGACTCTGGTGCTCAGACACACACAGTTTTGGTACAATGAGGCCTCTAAGTGCCAACCCCCGCACCTGGGACTGTGGGGAACCGGCCTGGCCACCGCCAAGGGTGTAGCGCGGATGTGCAGGAGGCATCTCGACCCTGTGCAATTTCTGCACGACGGGCTGACTTAGAACTGAATCCCTTCAGGTAGGATGGGACTCTGCTGGGCCAGGCGTGGGACCTCGGACAAGAGAAGCAAGTGATGCAAGTTCTCTGAGCCTTAGTGGCCCTGGCTGTAAAATGGGAGAATCCATGCTTCTCTCCCTGTTTTCAGATTTAATGTTTTTCTTTTTCCAGTAGGTCTCCCTCAACCATCTGTCTATCCATCCATCCATCCAGCCATTCATCCACCCACCTACATATCCATCCACCCTACCCTCCATTCATCTGTCCATCCACATATCCATCTACCCAACTGCCCATCTACCCATCCATCCACCCACCTACCTACATATCCATCCACCCTACTGTCTATCTATCCATCCATCCATCCATCTACCCACATATCCATCCACCCTACCGTCCATCCATCCATCTACCCTACTATCCATGCATCCACTCATTCACTCCTTTACTCATCAATGGCATACTCTGCATCAGGCCCACTTTGGGTGCTGAGCATCTGGCAGTTCCTGCCCTCAAGGGGTTTACAGTCTCTCATAGTGGATAAGACACAGTCACAAATAACATTTCCAGGTAGGATGAGGGGAGGAGCGTTAAAGGAGGCACAAAGGTGAGGACCCTCCCTACCTGGCTTGTGTAGCTTCTGGGGGGAGTCTGCTTCGGTCTACATCTGTGTCGTTCCTAAACCTTTATCTGTTCCCGTGTCTGTCCGTGGGCCTACGTCCGCATGTCTCTGGTGTGTTTGTGTCTACAAGTCTCTGGCCCCATGTCCGTGTGTCTGTGTCCCTGAGTCCTGGCATGGATGACCACACCTGCCTGTGTCTGGGTCCAGGTGCACGAGGCCCCTGGGCTCCGTAACTGCTCTCAGCCACAATCCCCACCCCCAGGGCTGACAAGCGTTTCGGCACCCAGGACCCCAGCCCCACCCACAGGGGGACGCCCCCTGCTGAGCATACCCTGTCCTCATCTTTGCCCTCCTCCCAGGGAGGACCCGTGGCGCGTGGCGAAAATGGTCAAGTCATACCTGCAGCAGCACAACATCCCACAGCGGGAGGTGGTGGACACCACCGGCCTCAACCAGTCCCACCTGTCCCAGCACCTCAACAAGGGCACTCCCATGAAGACGCAGAAGCGAGCCGCCCTGTACACCTGGTACGTCCGCAAGCAGCGAGAGGTGGCCCAGCGTAAGTAACGACCCCAGCCCGTGTCTTCCCTGGCAGGGTCCAGGACTCTCCCCAACTCACAAGTGGGGCCTGGAAGCTCCCCTAGCCCCATTATACGGACATAGACTCGAGAGGAAGTCATGGGGTTCAACCCACGTTGATGACCTATTCTGCACCAGGCAGTCTGGGGGAGGGGAGCGGGGCTGGTTTTGGGCAACCAAAGATGGATGAAGCTCTGGGTCCCTGACTTCCAAGAGCTCACTGTTAAGTGCAGAAGCATGAGAAAAGGTCATTGCGATCCAGTGAGACACGTATTATAATGTGATAACAGCAATAGCAACAACCATAACAGCTAGTGTTTATCTAGCGCTTATCTGCTCAGTGCAGAGCATGCACAAAGTATTTCAGAGTGTCGAGCTGACTGCAGAGGAGGGAGTAATCTATTCTTCCGCGGGGAGGCAGAGCTATCAGGAAGGTTCACCCTGGAAGTGTAACCTTTAGACTAGGTTTTAAAGTGTGAGTTGACTTTTGACTCACAGAGATGCAGGGAAGGGTGTTTCAGCAGAAGGAACAGCATGAGTAAAGGCTCAAAGGTGAGGTGTATGCCCAGGGACTCTTCCACTGTAAACCCAGGAAGACCTGGGCACCCTGTCACTCAGGAAACGGTGGGTTTCCTTATCCGGGCTTCATACCCCACCACATCCCAAGTGGACTGTCACACTTTTGAGCCTCTATCTAGGTGTCGAATTGTTTTTTGAATTTTTTAAAATTAATTATCCAAGTTTTTGGAAAAGGCAATACACACTTGGTTAAAAAAAGAAAAAAAGTTTACAATAAAAATTAGGTGTTCTTTCCCTAAAGCAGCCACTGGCATTCCCAGTCTCCTGTGTAACCTTCCAAAGATATTTTATGCATACACTAGCTATAGATACATTGTTTTCCTGCTTTATTTCTAGTTAATGGGAACATACTATGCATACTATTTGGCACCTTGCTTTTTCCCTCTCAGCAATAAATTCTGTACATCTTTTCACATCAGCACCGAGAGATTGACTGATCTCATTCTTTTTGAGGTTGCTGTCTATTGTTTGGAAGTATGATTATTTATTGAACTGGCCACCTACTGAAGGACGTTTAGGGTTTTTCCAATATACTAATACAACCAACTGCTGCAAAGAACATCTGTATTTATATAAGTTCACGCTCACATGTGTGTTTGTAGAATAAATTCCTAGAAGTAGAATGCTGGGTCAGACAGTAGATACTTTAAAATCTTTGCTAGATACTGCCATAGTTCCTTTCAAAGAGGTTGTACCAATGTGTATACACTTCCACCAACGGTCAAAATCACTACTGAAAAAAATAATGTATATACTATAATAGACATCTCTAATCCTTACACTACACCTAGCTTTCATCCTAATTGTCAGGGTGTTCTCTCTCTACTGTACCATAATATGCACTGGAAAAACAGTACATCTTTGGACTATTTTAATTTGTATGAAAAGAAACCATAAAGAGTTATTTTGAAAATCTGCTAGAACTAGGTTTAGCTTCGGAGAGAAATTGAATGTCTTCTCCCAAAACCATCGCTGGAAGGAATTTTCCCATATTAAACAAAATGCATTTTTTATGTCTAACAGTTAGAAATGCAATCAAGGATTTTAGCCTAGAGCTGAGAAAAGCAAAGCAAACTGTGGCCCAAATTGCCTTCCCCTGAGGATTTTTAATTTTAAAGGAGAAACTGGAGAATTTGAGATATAAGAACATTCAAGATAGGAGACCCTTTTGGGAACAGGGACAGAACCCCAATTTAAACTGATCGAAGAAAAAGGATTTTATTGGCTCATGGATGTGAGGAGTCCTTGCCTGCTTCAGGCACGGCTAGATCCAGGGGCTCAAATAATGTCCACATGGCATTTCTTGGCTCTGTTTTATGTTGGCTTCATTCTCAGGCAGGCTCCCCTCGTATAGGCAAAGATGGGCCCTGGAAGCTCTGGACTGCCACCCTACCAGCTTAGCAACCGCAGAGGGAAAAGAGCTTCTCTTTCAGCCACTTTCAGTTGAATGATTCCTTTTATTTTCAATAATTTAAACTTTTAAATCTAACATACTTTTAAATCTAGCGTACAAAATGTACGCAAATTCTAAGCATAACCATTCAATGAATTTTCACAAAGTGAACCCACCAATGTAACTACCAACCAGATAGAAAATGGAATATTATGAGCTCCCAGAGCCCCCTCTCCTCTTAGAGATAAGAATGATCTCTGATCTTGACTTCTACCATCATAGGCTAAGTATGGCTGATTTTGAAGTTTGTATAAATTAAATCATACCATACCATGACTTCTTTCTCTTCATATTATGTTTTTGAGACCCATCCATGTGGTTCCATGTCTTTGTAGATTGGCTATTCTCATGACTGTGTGTGAACATTCCATTGTGTGTAGACAATATATTTATTCTTTCTTCTTTGACGGACATTTGGATCACTTCTGATGTTTTGCTAATGTGAACAGCGCTGCTAGGAACATTTCAGTACACGTTTTTTGCTGAACGTGTATATAACATTTCTATCGGGTATGGAATTGCTAAGTCAAAGAGCACACGTAAGTTCAGCTTTAGTAGATACTGCTAAATAGTTACCATTTTGTAATCCAACCAGCAGTGTTTAAGCATTCCAGGTGCTCCCGGAACCTTTGCGATACTTGGTAATGTCACTGTTTCTTTCTTCCCCTGGTGGGTGTTAGTGGTATTGCATTGTGGTTTTAACTTTCATTTCCTTGATAACTCATATGTTGAGTATCTTTTCATACATTATTGGACATTTGGAGATCCTCTTTAGGAAGCACCCATTCTTAAACGGTTGCTTGCTTTTTGCTTATGGATTTTTAAGACTTTTTTAAAAATATGCCTTGACCATATGTCCTTTTTCAAATATATGTATTGCAAATATATTCTCCCACTCTGTGGCTTCTCTTATACTCTCTAAATGGTGTCTTTCTTTTTTTTTTTTTTTTGAAAAAAGGGCCCCACCCGCCTAAACCAACCCCCCAACCCAACCCCCCAAAGAACCAAAAAAAAAAGCCCAACCCAACAAGGAAGGGGTAGTTTTTAAAACTTTTTTGCAGAGATGGGAGTCTTGCTATGTTGCCCAGGTTTGTCTCAAACTCCTGGCCTCAAGTGATCCTCCCGCCTTGGCCACCCAAAGTGCTAGGATTATAGGTGTGAGCCAGTGCGCCTGGCCTAAATCGCGTCTTTTGATGAGCAGAAGTTCTTAATTTTTTTCTTTATGGTTAGTGCTTTTTGTGTCCTGTTTAAGAAATCTTTGTCTAACTCAAGGTCATGAACATTTTCTCCTATATTCTAATAGTTTTATTTTACTTTCTATATTGAGAGCTACAATCTAGCTGGAAATAACTTTTATGTGTAGCGTGAGATAGAAAGTGAGGATTCATTTTTTCTTTACAAGTGGTTTCCGACTTTGTATTATCCCTCTTAGCTTATAAATGGAGCTACTGGTGCTCGGAATTCATTTTTTTTCCTCCTGTGTAATTAACTACCTACTAGCACCACATTCAGAGACGACCCATGAACCAATCACAGTGGCCAGAGGGACGTGGTATTGTTGTTGGCCAGAGTAAGGTCACCCCACCTCAACTAGATGAAAAGGAGGAGGGAGGACCCTCCAGGGGAAATCAGGGTGCTGTTTCCTGAAGGCGGAGAAAAATGACACTACGCAGGCAAAAGCAGGTGCCTGCTATAGGGAATTCTCAGCGAATGAATAGATTTCACTTAATGGCTGGAGCACGATCAAAGCAGCAGCAGGTGTAAAAAACATGCCCCGATTATGAAAGGTGATATGAGGTACAATGGCTAAATGGAAGGTTCTAGAGCCAGACTGCTGGGTTCAAGACCTGGCTCTGCCACTTGTCAGCTTGTGTGAGCTTGGGTGAGTCGTTTAGCCTTCTTGTGACTCTGCTCCCCAATGTATATAATGGGGGCAAAATAGTATCTACCTTGAGGGCTGTCCTGAAGATGAAATTTGTAGACGTGCCTGGCATACAGAAAGCAGAGTAGAAAAGCATGCAGGGGGCCGAGCGTGGTGGCTCACGCCTGTAATCCTAGCACTCTGGGAGGCCGAGGCGGGCGGATTGTTTGAGCTCAGGAGTTCGAAACCAGCCTGAGCAAGAGCGAGACCCCCGTCTCTACTAAAAATAGAAAGAAATTAATCGGACAACTAAAAATATATAGAAAAAATTAGCCGGGCATGGTGGCACATGCCTGTAGTCCCAGCTACTCGGGAGGCTGAGGCAGGAGGATCGCTTGAGCCCAGGAGTTTGAGGTTGCTGTGAGCTAGGATGACGCCACAGCACTCTAGCCCGGGCAAGAGAGTGAGACTCTGTCTCAAAAAAAAAAAAAAAAAAGAAAAGAAAAGCATGCAGGGCTTGATTAGTGATGTCTGCCTTGGACAGAGGTTAAGAACGTGATGGCACATGGGCTGTCTGTTTGTCTTTCTGGGGCTCCTCTGGTTCAGCACCTTGGGAATGAGACAGTATCAGGGGCGTGGTCGGGTGAACTGATGTAGGAAGGTGGGAGTGGCCGGTGTCACACTCACGGCTCTCTGTGCCTACAGAGTTCACCCATGCAGGGCAGGGTGGGCTGATCGAGGAGCCCACAGGTGATGAGCTACCTACCAAGAAGGGGCGGAGGAACCGTTTCAAGTGGGGCCCAGCATCCCAGCAGATCCTGTTCCAGGCCTACGAGAGGCAAAAGAACCCCAGCAAGGAGGAGCGAGAGACGTTGGTGGAGGAATGCAACAGGTAGCAAGGCTGGCGGGTGGCAGTGCTGGTTTGGTGTGGGCTGGAGCAAGGGTGGGGAAGGGGAAGGCGACTCTGGGTCCTGAGGGAGGCTGCCCCGGTCCTTGAGAGCTCCTGCTGCCGGCTTAGTCCGGCCCGGAGAGTTGCAAATACTCAACTCCTGGTCAGTGTCGTGAACCTCACTCCATTCCCAGCAATCCCCACCCAACAAAGCAACCCCTTCGGTGGCCGCTCACCTGTTCCATCCCCTCCACAACCCTATGGCTATTTCGCTCACCTTATGAATGGAGAGCCTGAGGTCAGAGAGGCTGAGTCACTTGCCCAGGTCACATAGCAGAACTGGCATTGGAACCCACATCTGCCAGCCTCAAACACTCAGGCAGAGCCCAACTTCTCAGCACCCTCCCCCCATGCCCAGGAGAGGGTTCCCGCACCCTGCCTGGCCTGGAGGCTCACAGGTGGCCATTTCTGCAGGGCCGAGTGCATCCAGAGGGGGGTGTCACCATCACAGGCACAGGGGCTGGGCTCCAACCTCGTCACCGAGGTGCGTGTCTACAACTGGTTTGCCAACCGGCGCAAAGAAGAGGCCTTTCGGCACAAGCTGGCCATGGACACGTACAGCGGGCCCCCACCGGGGCCAGGCCCGGGACCCGTGCTGCCTGCCCACAGCTCGCCTGGCCTGCCGCCACCCGCCCTCTCCCCCAGCAAGGTCCACGGTGAGTGCTTTGTGAGGAGAGGGGACATGGGGGTAGGTGGGAGCGTTGAGGAGGACTGTCCCAGTGGTGGCAGCCACCCAGACCTCTTGGCACTTCAGTTTGGTTCCACTTCACTCTACCTCTCAGTACTCGACTCCATCCACTCACGCCATTCCTCTTAACGCTACTCCACCCTACTCAGCTACTCCGCCCTACTCAGCTACTCCGCCCTACTCAGCTACTCTGCTCTACTCAGCTACTCCACCCTACTCAGCTACTGCACTCTACTCACGCTACTCCACCTACTCACGCTACTCCACCTACTCACGCTACTCTGCCCTACTCAGCTACTCCGCCCTACTCAGCTACTCCGCCCTACTCACGCTACTCCGCTCTACTCAGCTACTCCACCCTACTCAGCTACTCCACCCTACTCAGCTACTGCACTCTACTCATGCTACTCCACCTACTCACGCTACTCCACTCTACTCAGCTACTCTATTCATGCTACTCCACTCTACTCAGCTACTCTACTCATGCTACTCCACCTACTCACGCTACTCCGCTCTACTCAGCTACTCCACTCTACTCAGCTACTCCGCCCTATTCAGCTACTCCGCTCTACTCAGCTACTCTACTCACGCTACTCCGCTCTACTCAGCTACTCCACCATACTCAGCTACTCCGCTCTACTCACGCTACTCCATCTACTCCACTTGACTCCTCATTCCATTTCACTCCATCTACTCCACTCCATGTCATTCCATTCCACTCTATTCACGCCACTCCCCCCATTCCACTCCATTTACCCCATTCATTCCACCTCACTCCACTCTTCCCCATTCCGTCCACTGCAAACTATTCCACACCATTCTGCCCACTTCACCCTGCACCACCCCACTCATTTTGCCCAACTATTATTCCACTCCACCTGCTACACTCCTTCACTCCACTCAGTTAAACCTAACTGGATTAGGGTTACTTCAATTCATTCGTTTCAGACCATATCGATTCAATTGTGTTTAACTCCTCATAATCCAATTTAGTTCATTTAACTTTGGTATGGTTTAATCCAACCAATTCCCGTTCAATCCATTCAGTTCAACTAAATGTAATTCAGTGAAATTCAGTTAATTTTGTATAGGTCAGTTCAACGGAAACAATTCGATTTGATTTCATGCAGCGCAACGCAATCAAGCTCAATAAAGCTCAATTCATTTCGAGTTCAACTCAACTAGATTCAGTCCTATTCAGCTCAGTTCACTTCAGTTTAATCCCATTAGCCTCAATTCAGCTCAGTTCAATTGTCTTTTATTGAGCACCTACTGCGTGTCAGGCACAGCACTGGGCAGTGGGGGGCGTGGAGCTAATAAGATGCAGCCGTAGCCTTCAAGGAGCTGGGAGCAGCCAGCCCAGGGCTTGGCAGAGCTGAGTGCTCAGGCAGTTTGCTGGCTGCATAAACAAAGGTGAGGCCAGCGGCCTAAGGAAACCGATGTAGTTTGGAGTGACGAGGACTACAGAGGCAGGCGAGGACAGGGAAGTGGGGTGCTGAGGCTGGACACTGCTCCCCACTCCAGGCGTGCGCTACGGACAGCCTGCAGCCAGTGAGGCGGCAGAAGTGCCCTCGAGCAGTGGCGGTCCCTTGGTGACAGTGTCTGCAGCCCTGCACCAAGTGTCCCCCACAGGCCTAGAGCCCAGCCACAGCCTGCTGAGCACTGAAGCCAAGCTGGTGAGTGTCCCCTGCCTGGGGGGACAGCACTTCCAACCCCATCTTTCCTTGGCAGGGAGACCCTGGAGCACTGTGGGGTCTCACCCTGACTCTGCCTGGCTTTCCCCGGCAGGTCTCAGCAACGGGGGGCCCCCTGCCCCCTGTGAGCACCCTGACGGCACTGCACAGCTTGGAGCAGACATCCCCAGGCCTCAACCAGCAGCCCCAGAACCTCATCATGGCCTCGCTCCCGGGGGTCATGACCATCGGGCCTGGAGAGCCTGCCTCCCTGGGCCCCACGTTCACCAACACGGGCGCCTCCACCCTGGTCATTGGTAAGCTGGGGACGGGTGGGGCACCCGGGGAGGGCTCGTGGGGCCACCGCAGAACCCAGCAGCGGGAAGAGCCACTGGGACTCCTTCACTCATTCGTACAACACGTATTTATGGAGTGCCTGCTCGGGGCCAGGCACTTGGCTACCTCAGTGACATGCGAGCGAACCAAACAGACCAAGATCTCAGTGACCTACGTGGGGAGGCAGAGAGTAAGCATGATACACAAATCACGTAGCATCTTGGAAGGTGGAAAGTATGGGCACAATAGAGCAGGGTAAGGCGGATTGACGTTTTCTAGGTTTTTGGTTTTATTTTAAAATTGTTTTAAAAGCCCAGAAAGCCTTTACTTGCAAGAATGATTAAGCAGGAGCTCAGGAGGTAAGATAGATCCGGAGCTGCTGGGAGAGGGGAGCAGAGAGCTAAGCCCCAGGGCCTTTGCACTGCTTTGGAACACCAGGACTCCAGGGAACCCAGTTTGACAACCCTTCGTGTATTCATGGCCCACCTCTCCTACCAGCCAAGATAAGGACCTAAAGGCTCAGACAAGGGGAGTGACTTGGCAGGGCCACTTAAGTTAGTGGCAGGTCCCAGTGCAGGGCTATTTCCTGATGGCCCTGTGCCTTCCTCCAGCCCGTGGGCTCTGGAGGGAAGAATGGTGGTACCCCAAGGGCCTGGGGAAGCGGCAGAGGTGGCCGGAGGCCAGGCTGACTCCTGCCCTTCCTGCTCCAGGCCTGGCCTCCACTCAGGCCCAGAGTGTGCCCGTCATCAACAGCATGGGCAGCAGCCTGACCACGCTGCAGCCCGTCCAGTTCTCCCAGCCACTGCACCCTTCCTACCAGCAGCCGCTCATGCCGCCCGTGCAGAGCCACGTGGCCCAGAGCCCCTTCATGGCTACCATGGCCCAGCTGCAGAGCCCCCACGGTGAGCGCCCCGCACCCCATGCTGGGGAAGGTGGTGATGGAACTTGGCTGTCGATGGGTTCAGGGGAAGGTGTTGAGGTCTGAGTGTGTCCAGGACAAGTGTGAGTGCTTCTGTGACGGAGGGTGTCTGTGAGCCACAGTATGTTTCCGTACGAATGGGCGTAGCTGTGTGCACACGCGTGCTTGTGTGAGCACATCCCTAGTGCCCTTCCGCGTGTGCATCTTGGGTGTTTATCAGTCGTGTGTGTGTGTGACCGTTTGTGGGAGTACAAGTCACAGTCCTCTCTCTGAAACTCTCGGGGCCATACGTATTTCAGAATCCACTATTCTCCAGATTTTAGAAAGGTCATTTGCTGGACAGAACACATACCACGTAACACTCCCAGCGGGGTTTGGGGCAGCACCCTGCGATCTGAGCACTACTATTTCTGCAGCAAAAAACAGGGACAGGGACCCCACCAGGTCAGTGAAAGACTCACATAATCTCGTGTCAGGTTCTGGCCGGGTTTTGCCACCAAATGAGCTCTGCTGCCAGCCTTACAAATATCTTTTGGTTTTGGACCTTTTTGGAATTTGGGTTTGGGATAAGGGATCGCGGACCTGTACACGTCTGTGCGTATGTGGTTGAAAGTGTACATGTTAATGTGTGTTATGTTTTTATCGGAGTCACTGTGAACGTATGTGCTTTATGTGTGTTTTGCTAGTGTCTCTGTGCCTCTTGGGGGGTTGCTGTATGTGAAACATCGGGCTGCATCTTGGAGAGGCTGCTGCCCTCCGCCCTGCTCACCCCCGTCCCCCCCGAGAGGAGCCACCTGCCTTTCTCCCGAGTTCTGTGCTTACTGCTATAGCACCTGCCCTGAGTACAGTGGCACCTGTGCCTCCCCCCTCTCCTTTCATACCTGCTGTCTCCAGGCGACAAGAGAGCTGGAGTTGGTTCCTGGCCTCCCCCAGGGTCCTCCCCCTCAATCCCAGCTGAGCAGGTCCCTGCAGTCTGAGAGAAGGTCTACCCGCCTCTCTGGAGCCCCCAGTTTTAGAAACCAGCCCGGGATCCCCGACCACTGCCCTGTCGGGCCAATCAGCAGGCCCCACGCCCCACTTCCCCCATTGCCCCCAGTTTTCGGGCCTTCCGGGAGGGGCCTGGGCTGGCATGCCTGCCATGTCTGTCTCCTCCCCGCCCCGCCAGCCCTCTACAGCCACAAGCCGGAGGTGGCCCAGTACACTCACACGGGCCTGCTTCCGCAGACCATGCTCATCACCGACACCACCAACCTGAGTGCCCTGGCCAGCCTCACGCCCACCAAGCAGGTAAGGCCCAGGCCTGTGGGCCCCCCCTGGGCTCCGCCCGAGAGCCCCCTCCATACCCTGGGGGCTCAGGTGGCTGCTCTGCTTCCCCAGGTCTTCACCTCAGACACCGAGGCCTCCAGTGAGTCTGGGCTTCATACGCCGGCCTCCCAAGCCACCACCCTGCACGTCCCCAGCCAGGACCCTGCTGGCATCCAGCACCTGCAGCCCGCTCACCGGCTCAGCGCCAGCCCCACGGGTGAGCGGCCCTGGCCCTTTCCTCAGCTACTGAGGGCACTGCAGGTCCCAGCTCCCCGCTTTGCCCCATGAGGCATGTACGTTATCATCCCATTTTACAGATGAGGAAATTGACACTCAAGCAGGCGAGGGACTGGCCTGGTCTCGAACCCGGGCCGACCTCAAAGCCCATCGCCACCCGTCAGGGTCCTCCCGAAACACAGAACCCATAGGACTTGTACAGAGTTTTACCTTAAGGAACTGGCTCGTGCAGGCGGGGGCTGGCGAGTCTGAAATCTGCAGGGCAGGCTGCAAACCCAGGCAGGAGCTGACCCCGCAGCCTTGAGGCAGAATTCCTTCCTCCCTGGGTCGCTTCCGGTTTTGCTCTTAAGGCCTTCAGTCTATTGGAGGAGGGCCACCTGGATTGCCTCCTTTACTCAAAGTCAACTGATGGCAGCTGTTCACCACGTCTGCGAAGCACCTTCACGGCAGCGCCTAGATTGGCGTCGGTTCAGCCCAGCCACGCCGACCCGTAGAACCACCCGCCACACCATCTTGCCAGGGCTTCTCCAAGGTTCCCACCAAAATGTCCTGAGCAGGCCACTCCCTGGGTGGCCCCAGAGCCTGGCTGGGGGGGTTCCCCTTGCTAAGAACCGAGGTAGAGGTTTGACTTTAGGGGTCCTGTTATCTGCCGTGATTCAGGAGGTGAGGCCTGAGTACCCCTAGGGACAGGCAGGGGTGGGATCGGGGGACCTGGCGGGTGGCCAGCAGCCTCGTTTGCCTCCGCAGTGTCCTCCAGCAGCCTGGTGCTGTACCAGAGCTCCGACTCCAGCAATGGCCACAGCCACCTGCTGCCGTCCAACCACGGCGTCATCGAGACCTTCATCTCCACGCAGATGGCCTCTTCCTCCCAGTAACTATGGCAACTGCCTCCCAACGCCTGGGCCCTGGGGCCAGTGCTGACTGCGGGACATCTGAGGCCGCCAAACTTCGGCTGCACGGGCCGCTGCCCCAGTGCCCCCTGCTGGGAAGCATCAGGACGGGAGATTCAGAGATGCCCCAACCCGAGGGCTGCTTCCGGAGCACAAGAGGGGGCGTGGAGCAGTGGGGAGCAGAGCCTGTTCCTGGCAGGACGAGGGAGGGACTGTCCCTGCTGCTCGGGAGAAAACCTTGGTACCGGGAACAGAAGGGGGCAGCCTTTGACTCTGGCACCCCCAGCCTGGGCCTGGGGAGAGCCCGGGAACCCCTGGGACACTCTGGCAGCCACACTTCTCAGGACACAAGCCCGGCTGGCTGTGACTTGCTGAGCTCCAAGAGGCCCAAGATCAGTGTGGCTTTGTTCTGTCACCTGTGTACCCACCAGGCCACTCCACCCTGCCCCAATCCCTTCCGGCTGGTGACCCACATGCCCATCGGTACTGACCCGGTCACCCACTCACACAGGCATTTCCCGAGTGGCCACTCTGTGCCAGCGTCGGGGCTCTGGTGCCCAATCCCTGGGGAGATGGCGCCCTCAGGGAGCCATGCAGGGCTCTCCTGGCTTCCCTTGTCCTGAGATCCCCTCCCTGGCCCCAAGACCTCGTTTTCCTGGACATTCATTGGCAGGAGCCTCACGCCCTCCGATGCCAGCCTGGCCTCTCGCCTCTACTGGCAAGGCTGCCGCAGGGCTAGGAAGCTGTCCTCGCTCCAGCGGGAGCCTTGCGACTCGTGCCGAGTCCGGGTCCTGCAGGTCCTTGCCTGGTTTATGGGAGAAGCTGCCGAGCTCAGAAGGCAGCCAGGTCTGAGCCGCTGGCCGAGCTGAGGGCCCAGAGGGAGAAGAGAGAGGTGAGCCCCGCGCGAAGGAGCCACCCGCCTGGACAGGACTGACACCCGGAGGCTGGGAGCCTGGCTGGCTGAGGGCTGGGGTCCGGGCTGTTGGTAGCCACCCCGAGGAGGAGTCTGCGGTCCTGAGCACCGCCGGGAAGGACAGAGCAGCTGTGTGAACCCAGGACCTCATCTTGGGCCTGCTGCGAAGGACCTGACCCTGAACCGCCTGCGCCTGCGGAAAGAAAGGGGAGAAGCAGCGCCCCCTACAGCTTGCAGCCAGCGAAGGGCAAACCTGTACATTTATTTAACTTTTAGTAAAGTCAATAAGAAATGTACTGAAACTTCTTAATTGTCCACATAGCACCCCAATGGGGCCTGGGCAGGCAGAGGGAGGCTGAGGCAGGCCTGGGGCCTGGAGAGGGCAGCCGGGCTCCAGCCCACACCCCCACGCACCCCACGTCTCTGCTGTTCCTGCTCTGCTGAAACTCTGACGATGAAGGATGAAGCCAGAATTTTTCACCTTAACCTTGAGCTTCTACTCCTTGCAGAAGACCCTTGTTCATGAAACCTCGTCCGCAAGTGCTGTGTCCCCCTTCCTGACGCCTCGAAGCGGGGGTGAAGGAACAGGTCCCAGGGACAGGAGGAGGAGGTTTATTTCAAATGTTTCATTAAGGTTTGGCACTGACAAGGAGGCAGCACTCAGATCGCCCTAAGTTTTGTGGTGGGTCCCTTGACAATTTATTTTCCATAATCTGGGTGCCTCAGAGATATCGTTGTGCCCAGTAAATTCACAAATGTGGAGAAAGAAAATTCTGGAAAACCAGGGGGGGAAAATAACTCTCTTCTTTTTCAGGCAATTCTGTCAAGTCTATGTGGGTTGAGGGGAGGAAACAAAAGTTTCTCTGGGCGGTGGCATCGTGGGGACCCGTTCCCTCATTTTCTACAGATGGCTTCTCACGCCAGGCTGAGGAGGTGGGTGGAGGAGGTGTCCCACCTCAGACAGTTCCGGGGAGATGGGAGCTGTACCACTTGGCCACTAGTCTCGACTAACCGGAAGGCTCCTTCTTCCCGAACATTCCCATGGAATGTTCTGGTACAACAGGCTTCTTACCCTACAGCCACATCTTTGTCCCGACCCTTGGGCAAGCCCCCATCACGACCAGGATCTCACGGGCAGAGTCGGGACGTGCCAGCCAAGTCCTTGCACTTGGAGAGAGAGGTGCAGCTTGGAAACGCCTGGCCCCCGGCGGGCGGCTGGGCCCTGCGCCCACAGCCGGGGTCAGTTTGCAGGCTCGGCCGCAGCACTCTTGGCTGGTGGGAGTGGAGAAGGCTCACCGGCCTTCTTCACCTTTTTCTTCCTTTTCTTCTTTTTGGTCCCAAGCGACACCTGGTCCCCATTGAGCTCGCCTGGCTCCTTTTCCTGCTTCCGGCCGGTGGCCCCGCTGTTGCTGCTGGAGGAGGTGGCTATTGCGGAGTCGACACCGACCACCTTCTTGGCTTTCTTTTTCGACTTCTTTTTCGACTTCTTTTTCCTTCCCGCCCCCTCCTCCACCCCGACAGGGCCGTGCAGGGCTGACTCCTGCAGGATGTCGGATGCCGACACGGCTGCCTCCCGGCACCGCCGCCACTCCTCGTCGCTGTCCTCGCCGCTGCAAGGGGAGGGCAGTCTGGTTGGCTGGCGTAGGGATGGGGCCCCAGTGCGGCCTCTCATTGCCCTCCCTTGGTCCAGGCCACCGGAAAGAGGCCCCAGACGAAGGCAGGGAGAGAGCTCCGGCTTGGGAGGGAGGCCGACCTGGGTTTCAACACCGCTTCTCTGCTTGCCAGCCCTGTGACCTCATTAAGTGTCTTAACCTCTCTGACTCTCAGTATCTTCATCTATAAAATGGGGAATCTAAACGGAGCCCAGGCCTCACAGGGATGTCTCGGGAGACTCAACTGCAGCCTTCCAGAAGCCTCTGACCTGACTTGGCAGCTGGGATCCCCTCAAGTGCCCTGATAAAGTGAGGTGCCTGGCCCAAGATGGGTGCACAAAAAGCAGTGAACATCCAAAGCCACCCCCAACCTCTTGCTGGGTGCACCATTTCTCGAGCTGCCTGCCAGGGCCCCTTCCTTGGCCTGGACCTGCCTGGAGTCTGCCTGGCTATTCCAGGGGACCGGCCAGGACAGGAGAGGAGCAACAAGGAAGGGACGTGAGGAGAGAGGGTGAGTTCTCACCTGGAGCTCGAGGGCTGTCGCTTTTGGCGGGGTTTGGGAGAAGCTTCCTTCTCAGGGCCCCCGGGGACGGATGTGAAGAACAGGCGGAAACCTAAGGTTCAAAGGGGCAGAGTCAGCACCGCCAGATGCCAACCCCCCTCCCCAGGCGCTCCGGGTGCACAGGCAGACTTGGGAACCACGGTCTAACTGCAAAATGGTGCCCTCTGACGAGAGGCGTGGATGGGGCGCTTGAGGGGATGCCAGCTGCCACATCAGGCTGGCCAGTCCTTAGAGGCTTCTGGAAGTCAGCAGTTGAGCTCTTACCTACGGCAGCCTCCACAGTGGCAAAATGAGTTGGCCTGGGACAGATGGACTCAGAGGGGTGAGTCTGAGGAGTGTGGCAGTAAAGAGCTCCCGCTCAGGGCTAGACAGAAACAAGGTCACCTCAGGCAAGTGACATCGTTTCTCAGAGCCTCAGTTTCCTTGACTGTAAATGGGGGTCTCATCATAATACCTGCCTCACGGCGGAGGCTGAGTGCATGAAAGAACAGACCCAAACTGTGTTAACTAGCTACAGACGCACAGTAGGTGCTTAATAAACGAAAGCTGTTATCGATAGTATAATTACTCACCATCATCCTCCGAGGTGACTTTCTGTACCTCAGCTTTTCTTGGCTCCTTCACTACTTCCGAGATGGTAATGACGCTAAGTGGAGAGGAGATGGTTGATTTAGGATGACATTCTAGGGAATAATTTTTTTTAAAAATTTAAGATAAATTTTTTAGGTGGAGGGCATAGGGCCATGCGATCATAAATGCAAAAGCGGACAGCACACTGGCCTGGCAAGAGGGCTCGTGCGTACAGCCAGCCCCCGCCAACTCGAACTGCAGTGAGTGCTTCATTTGTTTCAAGCCCACTTTATTCCAGAAAGTGTCGAAGAAGTTTTAAAGATACTCATGGTACAACAAAATGAATACAACCTCAAACAGGGCAAAGAGAAATGAGGAACGCCGACCTGAGTCTTTTACGGACTGGATTTTCAACCTGTGCTGAGAATGTGAGACGGAGAACTGGGTGGTGCAGGGCCTGGGACACGGAAGGCACCCAAGAAAGAACTTGACCCTTCCTCGCCCTCTTGTGGCAGGAATGAGCTCTCGCCTCTCGTGGGTTGGGAGCAGGGGCTTGGACCCGCGGTGACGTGTGGTTTATGAATGCAGCGAGGGGACGCGTGCCACGTGCTTGCCGCAGCGCCTGCTTGGACACACTGCACTCCTGGCTGACGTGAGCCGTGGCTGTCTGAATTACCAAGGGCAGGGGAAGAGGAAGTACGCTTTTGGTTACCTGTCCAGTAAGGCTCCCAGTTTCTTGGCCACGTGGGCTCGGAACTCAGGGGTGGTCTGCAGCTCGTTGCCATCTTGTTCGTGCTCATCCACCTTGTGCCTGCGACACACAAAGGGACCTCACTTCCTGCCAGCTCCCAGGCTGCCCCCATGCGTGCAGGGACTATGTGTGTCTTTGTTCACTTGGATGTCCCAGGGCTCTAGCCTGGCATCTGGCACAGGCAGGGGATCGATCTGTGTTGAATGAGTGAAAAGAAAACTCGAGCCCACAGTGTACGGTACCTGAGGCTCGGGTGGGAGGTTGGCAACTGGTTATTTGCAGCACCTGTGGAAAGATGAAAATTGAGGCATTTATAGAGGAAACAACAATGATGACATCTGTGGTGTGCCAGGCAACATCTATTGTGTGCCAGGCACTAAGCAATTCACATGTATAACTCAGTGAATCTTCCCAACAACCCCATTAGAGGGATCACTGTTATCCCCATTTACAGAAGAAGAAACATCAACGAAAAATAAAATAACTTGGCCAGAGTCAGATAGCTACTAAGCAACAGAGTTGGGGACAAGGACTCAGGGCATCTGGCTCCAGGACCCCCCTTCTTACCCTCGATGCTGAACAGGCAAGTCTCTGTAAACGAGATACGAAAATCTGTAACTTCTGTATGGGATAAAGTAACAGGTATTGCCAAAACTACTGTGGCTTGTTGCTCACGAGCACGATGGAAAGAGATGCTAAAGTTCAGTTAGAGGGTAATGAAAAGTAAAGATGCAATATTTTTCCATTCCAAATTCAAGGACCCACCGGATTCTATCCATGATTAGGCATCCTTATGTTGAAGGGTTTCGGATTTATTCCCAGGGCACTAGGGAGCCACAGTCAAGAGCTATGCATTGGACACAACTGTTGGCAACCTCAGGGTAGGACAATGTGTTGCGGGGAGGGAAAGGCTGGATGCCAGAATAATGCGAGCGAGCTGTCGCAGTCATCTAGGAGAGGTGACCACCTTGCCAGTGTGTGGCAGTGAGACCAGACGGAAGGAAGCAGAGTCAAGAGACATTTCGGTGCCTCAGTTTCCTCGACTGAGATAATGAAATAACCCTCCTTGCTGCACCTGTCTAAACCTCACCCAGTCCCTGGAGCTCTCTCGGGGAAGAAAGTGGAGTCCCAGTGACTCTGTGCACCATCCACCCTCTCGGGTCCCGGGGGAGGATCCCACGCCCTTCCCTGAACACAGTCCCCTACCGGCTCTTGGTTTCTCCGGCCCCCGCGGGCGCTGCTCCAAGCCCCAGGCCGGCATCGCGGCCTCCCGGCACCGAGCCAGCTCCTCCGCATCGCTGCTGCTACTGCTGCTGCTGTTATCCGAATCGCTCATGGCGCCGTTGAGCGCCGCCATCTTGAGCCACCGCAAAGAATTGTGGGGAATGCCTCCATTAACGACCCCCACCGCACCACCCCACGTGAGAGCGGAGCAGCGCGGGGCATTGTGGGCATTGTAGTTCTCAGACTCATGCCACCATCGGTCATGAACTGCTCTGGGGGTGAGGGGTGGGGAGTGCGCGGTTCTCAAAGGTGAGGACTAGAAGGGCCTAAGAGATCAATTTCTCCACTCTTTTCTTGATAAAGAGACCTACAGAGGGGAAGGGTCATCTCCTAAAATCACACAAGGAGTTAATGATAGAACCACAGTTTGTTTCCAGATTTTAACTCCATGTAGTTTAGACATTATTCATTTATTCTAGTAATTCCCAAATCTGCCTGGGCATCAGAAACACCTTAGGGAGCTTGTTAAGCTGCAGACTGTTGGGTCTTACAAAAAAACAACCAGATCAGAATCTCTGACAGGTGGGTCCCAGGAATCTGTATTTCCTCCAAGAGCCTAGCCTTAGGGCCTTGCTACTCAGAGTGTAGTCCATGAACCAGCAGCGTCTATAACACTTGGGAGCTTGTTAGACGTGCAGAGTGCCGGGCTCCGCCACAAAACTACTGAATCCGAATCTGCATTTTAACAAGATCTTGCAGTGATTTGTGTGCACATTAAAGGCACTGTCCTAGGTGATTCAGATTCACAGTTTGGTCTGAGAAACACTCTAGTTTTCTAGCCCAGGACTTCCCAACCCTGCCTGTACATAGGAAACATCTGGGGAACTTTAAAAACAAGATTACTGACTCCTAGGACCCATCTAAGACCAAAAAATTAGAATCTGTGGTTAAGATACTCCATAGTGAAGAATGGACAAAATTACTTTTATTTGTCTTTAGAATGCTTTGTTTCATACTTTATCTTTGAAGATGAGTGTGTCAAAAACTTTATTAAAGCCAGGCGAGGTTGTATGTGCCTGTACTCACAGCTACTTGGGAACCCGAGGCAGGAGAATCACATGAGCCCAGGAGTTTGAGGCTGCAGTGCACTATGATTGCACCTGGGAATAGCCACTGCACTCCAGCCTGGGCAACACAGACTCCAACTCCAAAAACAATCTAACAAGAAACTTTATTAAAATAGACTCTCTAGCCTTGGGCTTTTTTTTATCCCAAAAAAGAGGGAGCTGACTGGTATGGTCTGAATGTTTGTGTCCTTTCAAAAATCATACGTTGAAATTATCAATGTAAAATAAACCACAGAGAGATTGATTCTCCAAAAAAAAAAAAAAGAGTTTATTTGGGAATTGCAATAGTAGTCCATCAGAAAGCAGGGCAAAATGGGAAGACAAAAGGAAACTTTTTATTGATTGGTTGGAATAAACCTGATTACATGACATCTTTTGATAACAAAGATGCTATTATCTTCCTAAAGACTCTGGACTATTATGTACTGTTTGTGCGTGGGTTTCACGAGTTGAGGGGAATTTTTACACTGCATCATCCTCAATCTCCCAGACTTTGCCCTTTTGGTCTCAGTTTCTCCATAGTCCTCATTTCCCAGAGTTGAGAGGCTCAAATGATTAGGCAATACCCACTAGGACAGCATTAGCACCTATGGAAATAAACAAAGAAGAGCATCTAAATGAGAACAAGCAAAGAAAGTCTGTCTTTTTTGTTGTTGTCGTTTTATTTTGTTTTTTACAGACAGGGTCATCCTCTGTCACCCAGGCTGGAGTACAGTGGTGTGATCATAGTTTGCTGCAGCCTCGAACTCCTAGGTTCAAGTGATCCTCTTGCCTCAGTCTCCTGAGTAGCTGTGACTATAGGCGCTTGCTGCCATGCCCAGCTAATTAAAAAAAAATTTTTTTTAGAGATCTTGCTGTGTTGCCCAGGCTGATCTCAAATTCCCAGCCTCAAGTGATCCTCCTTCGAAGTGCTGGAATTACAGATGTGAGCCACCATGTCTGGCCACAACAAAGGCTATTTATGTACAACTTGCTGTTTGCAAAGGAACTAGCCACCATCCCTTGCTTTGGACAGAGACTCAAAGGCAGGCAGGGGAATGGGAAATTTTTCTAGCGGAAAATGGGGGAGGCTTCAGGTATCCCCTGATGGAGGTTGTTTGTGTGGGGAAGCTGTCAGCAGTGCTTACTAGGAGTTGGGCTAGTCTTGTGGGTGGTTTGGGGAGCTTATTTGGTTTTCTCTGGTTGTCCCTACATTGGAAGCAGGGTAAGGCTAGGGTGGGGAGTTAGAGAAGCTGGCAGTTATTGGCCAAGTCCTGATGGTTTGGGGTTGGTTGCTGCAGAGGATTGTAGGTCAGAATTCTGTTGCTGCATGTGGTCTGGCCATTGTCTGTTTGCATATTTAGTCTCTCGTACCGTTCCTTATTCCCCTACAGGCAGGGCGAGGATAACTATTTATAACACTGGCGAAGACCTGGGCCCTCCCCAGAAGAGAACTGGAAGGGTGGCCGATAGCATGAATTCTGCATTAGATGGTAGCAATGCACAGAGAAGTTTCCCAGAGGAAACTAGCTGGCTGGAAACTGAGCCTTCACGGAGAGGACGAGGGTGTCGCTGTCCTGGATGCCATAGTATCCCAGACGCTGCGAGTCGTGCAGGACTTCGCCTTGGAACTGCAGCTGCTGCTGCTTTGTGGGCAGCCCCTGCCGGTATTCGATCTGCCGCTTCAGAGCCCAGACGACACTGTTGAGCTCGATGGCATAGGCGTGGCTCCCGCCATCGTGCTTCTTCACAAACACCTGGATCTCGGTGGACACGGTCTCCAGCCGAGAGATGCGGCTGTTGAAGAAGATCCCATAATCGGCCAAGCAGCTGCGACTTTTGAGGAGCTGCCTCTCGCTGCCCGGCTCCTGGAAGGACAGGCGCTGCAGGCCGGAGTAGGCTGCGCTCCCCTGGATTTTCTCTTTAATCGTCTTTATGGACTCATAAGGGTTCACCCAGAGGGTCAAATCTGGGAAGCCCCACCGCTCCACTGTCACCTCGATGTCTCGCGCCCTCTGGTGGAAGGGAGAGGGAAATGGAGAGGGGTTCAGTCCATATTCTCTGTCTGATGTGCAAAAGTTCCCTTCACCTGTCCTCATCTTTCCAACAACAGCAGAAACACAGCAGCAACGTTTAGGGACAGCCAACCACTTTCCGGGTCTATCCTGGGCACCCTCCATACTCTTAACACATTTTATTCTCACAGGAGCTCTGGGAGGCTGGTTCTACTACTGTACCCATTTCACAGATGAGGAAATTGTGGTTGAGCAGGGTTTAAGTAACTTACTAAGCAATCAGACCCAAAGGGAGTGGGGAGCACAGCAGGTGTGTGAAGTGGGCTTGGTGACACTCCAAAGTGTGTGTTCCGGCCACCTCCAGAGGTGGTGCTCCCCGGGGCCTGACAGTGCCGGGTGGCTGGAGTGCACCGCCTGGAAGATGCTGGGGAGGGCGGGGCCTCTCGCCTAGCATTCCCAAGTCCTCTGATTTGCCAAGTAAAAATCTTTGCACAATGGTTTTTATATTCGGGAAAAATCCAGAGCCCATCGGTGGGTCCCCCGTTTGTAATCTGTGTACCTTTGTACAGAGCTTCTGAGTTTGCTTCTGCCTCGTGCTCCAAGCAGCTCGGTCTCTTGTTCCTGCACACACCTTGCTTATCTCCACCTCCCATCCTGTGCCCCTGAGCCCCGACCCCGGCCCTTGATCTGGAGGGTCTTCTGTTTTGAGCATCTACATCCCCCTCCCTGGCCTTTAGGGCTCTCACCTCAACCCCTAACTTCTTCAAGGAATCTTCTCTGGTGACTTCAGAAAACATTTATTCTCTGTTTCCAGAGCCCCACAAAGACCTGGGTGTGAATCCTGATTCTGCTGCCTCTTAGCAGTGTGACCTTAGTTAATTAACTTAACCACTCTGAACCCCAGTTTCCTCTTCTGTAAAATGACAGTAAAAGTAATAATAAACATAATGATAACACTTGACCTTCCTACTTTGCAGAATTGTCCATGAGGATCAACGGACACAGTCCCTGGACAAGCACTTTGCAAATTATAAAGTGCCATGTGAATAAAATAGATTATTATGATCTTTGTCTGTACCCTAGGTTTGGTGTCATATAATGTTACTGGGCATTTTTTGTTTTCTGAGTATCTTGTCTTCGTGGGTAATTCTCTGTAGCAGTTTTACGCAAATTTGTTTCATGGACTTGTTTCCTAACAGCCTAGGGTGAGTTCCTTGAGGGTCAGGGCCACGTCCCAGTATTTCTGCACCCGTGTTGTCGCTAGGCCCCCACCCCCACCGGCCCCGAGCTCAGTGCTGGCACAAAACAGCTGACTGAGTTGACGCCGCTGGGCTCAGCTCTTGCAAAGGATGCTCAGGAGCACGGAACTGATTCTCCAATAGGTTACAGGAAAAAGAAAGGAAACGAGAACAAGAATTTAAAGATAAGGAACTTGAGGCTCAGAGAGCCACAGAATTTTCCCGAGTTCACAGAGCCGGTGGGTGGTGCAGCCGAGCCTCGACCTGTCTGACTCTAACGTCCCGTCCTCCATCGGCGCAGACGTGAGTAAGTGAACACTACCCGTTTAGCTCATTCCGAGCTGCAAGCCCTTGACAACCTGGAGAGGACCCCGTTACCTTCGTGTTCCAGCGGGGGACCGGCGTCTCCCAGTTGTCATAGCAACAGTCCTGTTTCAGGCACTGGGCGGCTCTCTGAGCAACAATGTCCCATCTGTACCCTTCCGCCACATTGTGGGTGGGGTCAGCTGGATCCAGGATGATGGGCCTGCAACACAGGGAGAGGGTGCCCAGGCTCCGGCTGGCTTGCAGGCCTGCAAGCCACAGAGAAACCTTCTCAGCTGTCGTCTGTTCAAGCCCCTGGGCATCTGCTGTGCCCAGAGCCCAGGGCTGTCAGGCCAGGAGGGCCCCAAAACGCCGCTGCAGAGTAACAGGGTGGAGACGACCATATTGCCAAGAATTTGTCTCAGGGAGAGCACGCGAGGTGTTTGCAAGGAATTTTGGGGGTTGGGGAGAGTGAGGTCTAAGAGGCCACTGGAGCAATACCACATGTCCACTCGGGCAGGGGGGCCTGTCAAGTTCACAGCAGGCTACACGAGTTTGAGGTCAGAGCTGCTGCATTGCTTTGGATAGTGGTGAGACCCCCGCCACTGACTACTGAGCTTCATTGAAGCATTGGGCCAAACCCTGTGTGAATTAATCTATTTTAATCCTTAAACAATTCTATAAGGTAGGGAGCATTATTATTATTATTATTATATGTTTTTTTAAGACAGGGTCTTTCCCTGTTGCCCGGGCTGGAGTACAGTGGCATCATCATAGCTCGCTGCAGCCCTCAACTCCTGGGCTCAAGCGATCCTCCTGCCTCAGCCTCCCGAGTAGCTGAGACTATAGGCATGCGCCACCACATCTGGCTAATTTTTCTATTTTTGTAGAGATAAGGTCTCCCTCTTGCTCAGGCTGGTCTCAAACTCCTGGCCTCAAGCGATCCTCCCACCTCATCCTCCCAAAGTGCTGGGATTACAGGTGTGAGACACAGAGCCCGGCCGGGACTATTATTATTCTTGTTGTTGTTATCATCCCCATTTAACAGATGAACAAACTGAGGCACAGAACTCCCTAAGTTCTCACAGCCAGTAAATGGAGTTCTGACCCACAACGGAGAAGAGTTTGGGCTGCCTCCAAGTGTCTCTCCTCTAGATAAATGTTGAATGAATATTTTAAAGGATATTGGCTTGCAGGGGGTGTCATGACTTGCTTGGGCCACTTGGGATGACTGCTTGGCATCTGTCGTGCCAAGCCCACGATTGAGACCCAGCTTTTGCACTCCAGGAGCTTGTGGCTTGGGAGGGAGCTGCAACTTTATCTACGTGATAGAGCATGATACAGGCTACTGGAGTAAACGGGACACACTAGGCTCCAGGCTTGCTCCTCCCAACTTCCCCTGCTCCCTAGAACAGCCCTGCATGAAACAATCAGGGGGCAGAGCCAGGCTGTCCTATGGGGTGGGGGTCACCTGGCCCAAAGTGGCCCATTCTATTCCGTTGGCAGGCAGGTGACCTACCAGGTGACCTAACGAACAGGACTTGTGCCCAATGATCAAACTGGTTTCCTCTGGGGTTTGGACACGGGGATGATGGAGGTCCCTCATCCACTGGGGGCAGAGGGAGCAGGACAGATGTGGAGAGAGAAGAGCTCGTGGGCCATGAGAGAAAGCAACAGAGAGAGAGGGCGTCTCAGGCCCCGATGATTTCCCAACTTCAATTTTCTGGGCATCCTTATAATAAATCGTCTTTTCATAAGGAGACCTATCTTTTCTCTCTTGCAAAAAAAGACCCAATGCTCACATAACGGAACACTAAAAATTCTTGTGACTTCGCTTGCACTGGCCTAGACCTTCTAATGTAACCAGTTGTCTAGGCTGGGCTCTCCCAGAAGCAGATCCCCCGGTAAGGATTCGGCTTATTTGGAAGGAGATTCCAGGAGGCACTAATAAGGGAGTGAGACAGCGAGACAGGGGATGGGAGGCAGCCAATAAAGGGTGAGTGTCAAGGTAGTGACCACCGTGGTCAGCCGGAAGGGATCTCTGGGAAACAGCGTGGGCGGGACCCAGGGTCCTTCCACCGGAGGGGCGAGGGAGCCGGGGTGTTTGTCCACCAACTCCTGCCGGATCGGGTGGAGGGCTGCGCTCAGCGTGGAGCTACTGGTTACAGGAAAATTCTCAGGCAAAGGGACACAGGTGCTAACAGTTGGAAGTTGAGCCAGCCTTCATCAGAACAGTAAAGGCCAAGGGGCATCAGTGGGGTGCTGACAGCGTGCGCTATGGCAGTGAGCATTTATTTGGCATCTACTGTATGCTAGGTTCTGTGGATCCATAACATATATTTTGTCTGGCTCTCACAACAGCCCTGCATTGTGGGTACCAGTTCATTCCTGTCTTACAGATGAAGAATCAAGGCTCACGGCGGTGAGAAAATGTCAGAGCGGGGATTTAAACTTGAGTCTCTGAGATGGTTTCCATTTTCCCATGCTATCTCTACAAACCTCTGAAATGGTCTTCTGAGAGCAAGAGGGTGAAGGTGGGGTGGCTTAGGGAACTTGGAAAGGCTTATACCCCTCAAGGCTCCCAGGGACTTTGGTAGGCCACCAACTGTGTCGGTAAGACACGGTGGCAGTCTCACGACTTAAGAAAGCCAACCTGTGAAACCCTATGCCACGTGTCCCTCAAATCTCTGTGGGCAAGCAGTGGTCCGGTACCTCTCTTTCTGCAACTGTTTTCTGAGAAAGTCCTTGATGACTGGGTTCTGGGGTGTGTAGTACGTGGTCCAGTAGATGCAGAGGAACTCATACTCCTGGAGCAGCTCCATCACAGTGGCGAGGCCTTCGGCCAGCATGAAACGCTCATCCCTCTGAGCCCCCGTTTCCCAGGCATAGATCGTCAGGAGCTCGAGAGCATAGGCAGGGGGAAGATTGGCTCTGGGGCACCTGGCTTTCACGTACTGTTGAGAGAGACAAGAAGGGAAAGGGAGACTCCAAGACTCAGGGTAAGGATGGCGTTGGACCAGAAACTGGGAAATCCAAGTTCTAGTCTCAGCCCTGCCACCTACTGGCTGTGTGACCTTGGCCACATCACTTTCCCTCTCTGAGCCTTGGTTTTCCCATTTTAGAATTAAGGGGCTGGATTAGTCCATTGGGCTTCACTATGTGTTTGACAGATGTAACTCCTGCGTGGGGTTATGAAGAGGTGGCCCAAGCAGTGAGCACACTGGGCTCTGCCACCATCATTCCAGCCTAAGCAGCCCTATTTTAATCTATTTTCATGTATTGAGCTTCTGAGAAAGGTTTCTTTTAAAGAAAGGGCTTCGGCCGGG